AGTTACGTTAGTTAGTTACGTTTGTTTATTTCTTATAATATATATATATATATATATATATATATATATATATATATATATATATATATATATATTTACAAGCGTGAAGTTATATCCATCATTTTATCCTCAACATTTGATTACAAATTACATTTCATGAATCTGCTTTTGTCTTTTCCTTATGATTCCAAATGATATTGACTCTCTCAACTTGCTGCATGCATGTTCTCATCAAGAGCGAGACTTAACACAATTTACGGTGCATTTGATCGATTTTAATTCGTTGAAATAATATATACACGAACAACATCGATTTTAATTTCAGCTGGTTGTTGAAAAAACTTTTGCAAAAGAAAAAAATGTTGTATAATCTCTTTTTCCTTTACACTCGATTCACGAATAACAACAAATGAGAAAACTCATACGTATACCTTTTTCCTTATCGAGTTAAATAAACCACAGTTTGAGATTACTCTCACAACCCTGCATGAGAACCGCAAACTAAGGTAAATTTTGTGTAAAATGAACTTTCCTTATGATTTATAATCTTTTTACAGTATTTTGTTTGTTTGATCTCTTATTAATATAACTAGGTTCGGACCCGCGCTACAGCGCGGGAGAAATAATTACATATATATATAACTTTTAACGGATTATAATATATTAATATTTTAATTTTATTGCAATGTAGTCGATTACGATGAATGATATATTTGTGTAATAATTTTAAATAAAATATAAACGAAAAAGCGTGTAAATAATAATACATTAAATTTTGATACAATTAAACAAGTGAAAATTTAACAGTACGAAAGAATATTTATCGACAAATTATTCAATTTGACTATTTTGTAGTAGAAGTAGGAATATATGTAAAAATTACATATTTACAATATATTTTTTGAAAGACCTACCCGTAAGAATTCATTTTGTAAAAAATATTATTCATAACTCGCTTTACAATTATAATTGTAATTTTCACAAACTACTCGCGAACTATCAAAAATTTACATAGTTTGATATATAATATATTTTATCAATAAAATTACATCTATGTCCTCAAAATTACATCTATTTCTCCAAAACTTATTTTAAATCTTTTAAATTCTAAATTTCTTATATATTTAAACCTTTTAATTATAATATTTTGAACCTTTTAAACTTATATATATGCTCATGTAACAATGGTTTAAATATTGGTCATACTTATACTGATTTAAAATCATTTTCCAAAATATTTAACCGAGTGTAGTTGAATGTTATATGTCCGTTTTGAAAAATTCAAATTGCAATATATGCAAAAAAAAAATATGAAATATTTTTATTATATAGTTTAATATCATAAATTAAAAATATTATTAAATAAAAGTTAGAGAAAAAATAATAATTGATTAGTTAGAGAAATATTAGGAAATCATAAAATTGTTAAGGAAATAATATAATCTTAAAATTAGATTTGGAAAGTATCCGATGTATGTATCCAAACCCAATTTAATATCCAATTTTGAAATATCCAATTGTTAAAATTGGATTAATTTTTTAATTTTGACCCGACCCGTATTCCTTTGTACTTCTCTTTTACTAATATAGAGATATTATAATATATTTTTTTTGGTGCACCTAAAAAAAAAAAATCTATTGATTAATACGTTAAATAGCAAGGTTTATGCCTAGGTGAAACACCTTATGTCATCATTTGATATTGTTCATAGCTATTATATAGAGAATTATATATGTATATGAATGATCCATTTTGAATTTGCATATAAATTATCCATCTTAATCAGTTTTTAGAACTCGACCCCTACATGCGACATCAATATTTATAATCGATGCAAATATTTGAAAATTAAAAAGGAAAATAAAAATCTATCAGTTTTGTAAGTTATATTTCAATCCCATAACTTTTTCTACCAATTTTGGTTTTTTTCTCTTAAAGAGTTAATCTTAGTATAATTCGATTGAAGGATACAAAAATGAGATACTAAAAGCTTATGAACTCTCTCTAATTCATAGCAATTCTTTTACCAACATTCATTAATAATATGATAGGAGGTGTTTTACGAATATTAAATAACTGTTTTGTATCATCTACTACTACAACAACAATAGTATTTTCTTATTCTACCTTTTTTAGACAAAACCCCACAGCCCACTTGCACTTGGGGGTATATCGACTTTATAGTTAAAGCAATGTTCGTGCCTTTTGTCCTATAAAGGAACGACACAGATAGATATCCCTAAGACAGAAAAATTCTATATAACTAAAGAAAAGAAGAAGTGTATACAAATTGCAAAATAAGTCGAAGAAAATTCGCGAATATTAATTAAAAAGAAAAAGAAAACGAAAATTACACGGAGTTCTAGAACAAACGTATAAATAACGTGAAATACAAATAACCAAAAAAATAATATCATATGATATTGACTAACTGGTAGCTATAGTACTTTGAACTGAGAGAATAAGTCGCTTTGAAGTCTGAAGAGGTTTTCTCCTCTCCCTCAGGTGTCCTGAGCTTTTCTAAGCAAAAAAGAAAAAAAAAACACTGTTGTCATTTTTATTATACTTTCCTATATGAAATATTTACTGTATCTTAATTATAGTGTGGAATTAATTTCAACAAACTTTGACGATTCACATCTAAAGATTCATTTTAAACTCTAAAAGAAAAACATAAAATCGTTACTATGAAAATACAACCACAATAATATTCTAGAAGAGAAGAAAATGCATCTAAACCCTTTAGTAGCATGACCAATAAAATTTCTCTTAACGATTAGACATGGTGTGATATTATGAAACTACGGTTTAACAAATTTATGTGATTAATCAATAAATATATAAATATTATTTTATTTTGTGATTTACCTAGTTTTAGATCATTGTTGCAAATATTATTTTCAGGTCAACTAATGTAGATTACTGATTCTGTTTTTGAAATCTAAATTTAAGAAGAGAAAACTATAAAAAAAAAAAAAAAAATTAACAAATCCATGAATAGATCTAGTACAAATATGTTTCTCATTTAGTCATGATTTTGATCAAAAGAGAAATTTCAACACATCAATTGCGATTGAAAAAGTTTTCAAAGGATCATCATAGCATATCAAGAAACATGATGATGAGTAATCTCATCACCACTATTTATTTATAATAATTCCTATTATGAAAACCAATTTTGTTCTCACTTTATTTGGAAACTCATCATACTCCTCCACCAAAAAAAAAGAAAGAAAAGAAATACATTATTTTATGACAAGTTAAATATTTGTTGTATTACATAAAATAATAAACTAAAGTTTAATTAGTGAAGTTAAGAATATCAGATCAACAAAATGTTATCCTGCAGCAGCATTAAGTTCAGAATCATATTAACATAATCGACGAAAAAAAGAAGAAGATATTATAAGAGTAATATATTTTTTGAAACAAAATGATTAGTCATTCCAATGAAATTATAACAGTTGTATATCCACTATCTTTTTATATATTCCAATGTTAATCCAAAATTATACCCAAACTGGTGATTACGTTGACGTAGCTATATACAGTTTCACGAATTTAGCAGTTGCTATGAACATGATATAAAACAATAGCTAACAGATAAGGATCAAACAATAGCTAATCATCAAAACGAATACAAATTCTTGCAAATATAGAAAAGTAAGTGTGATGTAAATAAAAAGAAAACAAAGCTTTCCACAAATATAAAACTAACACACAACACAAAAACAACACTGTTGTTTTTTAAATTAATATTTTTTGGTTCTGTTTGTCATTTTTATAAAACATAGGTAGAGAGAAAACAATAACGCAAACGGGAGCACGACAAGTTTGATAATGTCGGGAAGCAAAAGTTAAGATCTTTTTTTTCTATATATATAATATAATTAAAGATTAATGAAATACATAATAATAAAGTAGAAAAGAAAGGAGAGTTTTAAAGAAGAAGAATTGTGGCATTGTTGTTGGTATGGCCACTACCAGACATAAGGGGCCTACGCTTCTCATCACTCTCTCCACCACCTAATCCTCTCTCTCTTTCTCTTTCTTTCTTCTTCTTCATTTCTTCAAACTCTCTCTTTCAGATTTCAAGAAACCCTTAAAATCCTCTCTCTGTCTCTTTCTGTTTGTTTGTTTTCTTGTTTCCCTCTCTCTCTCTCTCTATCTTTCTTTGTCTCCTTTCCCAGGTTTTTCTTTCTTTCTTGCTTTCTCTGCGTTCTTGACTCTCAAAAGACTCTCTCTCTCTTTTGGGTTGATTTTGGACTCTAGGGCTCTTTCTTTTTGTTGCTGTTGCTATTGTTGTCTGTGATGATTACTGAACTTGAGATGGGGAAAGGTGAGAGTGAGCTTGAGCTTGGTCTTGGCCTTAGTCTTGGCGGTGGAACGCCTGCCAAGATTGGTGGTGGTGGCGCGTGGGGAGAGCGTGGGAGGCTTTTGACGGCTAAGGACTTCCCTTCTGTTGGCTCTAAACGTGCTGCTGACTCTGCTTCTCACGCTGGTGCATCTCCTCCTCGTTCAAGGTTCGTCTTTTAACTGAATTTAGCGCTTACTGAAAGATCTTTCAAGTGTGATGTCAAATTGCTATTCTCGGAAACAGAGTTTGTTTTGAGGAAGTTCTAAAAGGTTCTTTACTGTTTAGCTGTTGTTAATGTATTTTTGATCTGAGTTTATGTGGGAACAAGGGCTCTGTTTTTGGAACTAGGAATCCTGAATAGCTGAATCTGTTCTTGAGATTGGTCTTGATCCATTTGGTTGTTTTACATAGTCCTGAGTGATGTTTGTTTTGGTTGTAGCAGTCAAGTTGTGGGATGGCCTCCTATTGGGTCACATAGGATGAACAGTTTGGTTAATAACCAAGCTACAAAGTCGGCAAGAGAAGAAGAAGACGCTGGTAAGAAGAAAGTGAATGATGATCAGCCTAAAGATGCGACAAAGAAAGTGAATGGGAAAGTGCAAGTTGGGTTTATTAAGGTGAACATGGATGGAGTTGCTATAGGAAGAAAAGTGGATTTGAATGCCCATTCATCTTACGAGAATTTGGCGCAAACACTGGAAGATATGTTCTTTCGAACTAATCCGGGTACTATCGGGTTAACGGGTCAGTTCACTAAACCGTTGAGGCTTTTGGATGGATCGTCTGAGTTTGTACTTACTTATGAAGACAAGGAAGGTGATTGGATGCTTGTTGGCGATGTTCCGTGGAGGTAATAGATCTAGAAAGAACCATGAGTTTAAAATTTGATAAATGTTTGTTTCAATGATCTAACATGTTTTCGTCATCTTTTTAGAATGTTTACCACCTCGGTGAAAAGGCTTAGGGTGATGAAAACCTCTGAAGCTAATGGACTCGGTACGTAGACATATCTTGTCTTGATTTCTCTTATTGTTTGTTGAAAAGATGGAAAGAAAAAGTTGGGACTGAAACATGTTGATATATGTGCAGCTGCAAGACATCAAGATCCAAATGAGAGACAACGAAACCAGCCGATGTAGATCTCATTTCGACAATATGCTGTTACAGGTTTTATATTTTGGGTTGTTTTTTTTTGGTTGCAATTATGAGATACTTATGAATCAAAGCATAAGGAAAGAAGCAGAAGCTAGGTTGATCTTATATCCAGTTTGTGTTTTCTCTTGGTTCCTCTAATGGTTTTTTTTTATATATTTTTCCTGGTTGGCTTTAGGGTTTCTTTTTTTTGGTCTGTCTTTTTAAATTTCGGTTGAGATTTCATCATATACTATGGATCGAAGAGAATGCTCTTTATTTCTTTTACTACACTGTAAATATTTGAAGCGCTTATCTGATAGTATGTCTTTAAGGGTTTTTTCTTTTTGCTTATGAGTTTGCTCTTATTGTCACTTTTGTATACCTTTTCTTCACATATTCTACAATCATAAGCATTTTAGACCAAATATGTTTTCAGAAACACATAACAAAGGTATGGTGTAAGTAATAATGTATTAGCAACTCTAAAACATTCTTTACTTCCTAAAGTAATGGTCACTTGCAAATTCCTAAAGTAATGCATGGTCACTTGCAAACCTTTGGTGGTGAGATGTTGGTGTTGTTGATCTCTCTAATGCTTTTTGCTTTGTGAGATGCTCAAGTAGAGTTGAGCTGGTGCGGAAACTTGTCGACTTGCGAGTGAAGGAAGTGTCTACATATACTAATGGTCTGACACATGAAAAAACTTGATCATGATAATTTGATTTAAGTGAGATTTTAATTCAACCACCGATTTAGCTACCAAAATAGCGGTGGCTACGTTTTAGAAACATTTTCAACTTATTGTCATGGCCACCGCATTAAGCTACCATAGGTCTAAGATGATTCCTTCTTCTTCTTTCCAAATCCGCCGCCAGTCTTAATCTAAAATCAATGGCGTTTATCCTCTAATGGAGATAAAGTGTTCTGACTCATTAAGCCGCACGCGGTTATCAACAGAGTTCCCTCGTTATAATTGCTTAGGCCCAACCCATTTTTTTGTTCCTTGATAAAGAATTTTAAACTAAATTGCTCCATCGTCTCAAGTTCTTAAACCAGAGATTGTGTTAGATAACATTGAAAGAAACTATGCACATGAAAACTCTCTCTCAAGAATAACTTAGAAGTTTGAACTAATCCTACAAATCAAACTTCAATCTCATGGATTCACCATTAACTGAAGAAAAATTGGCAAGGGAACAAACAAAGACACGGAATATAGGAGATGAGAGGTAAAAGCAGAGCGGGCTTAACTGTGAGACTTAGCCTGAGCTAGAACGTTCCAATAAATATTTGTCACCACACAATAGATTTTGAAATTTAACTATCTTCTCTTCTCCAGTTACAAACAGACTAATGTCACTACTCTTTAAAGCTTTCTAAGATGACCGACTCTTGAACTTTGACTTGACAGAGTCTTCTCGTCTATAAGTCAAGAGTTTCACCAAGACCAGAGAGAAAAAAAAAAACTTTGACTTGGTATGTATGGCATATAGACGTGTTTCCTTTCTGGCTCAAGGTTTTGCCGGATTTGGAAGCCCTTACCCTCCGTTCAAACATATTCTATGGTCCCATATCTCCTCCTCAAGGACCTTTAGGATTTCCCAAGCTGCGGATACTTGATATATCAGATAACAGCTTTACCGGAAGTTTGTCACCAGAGTACTTTGTAAATTGGAGTGTATCATCAAACATGATATATGGAGATGGGCGGATGTATATGGGAGACTATAATAATTCTCTCTATCAGTATCTTTTTACTTTAGACTTGCGATACAAAGGTCTATATATGGAGCATAAAAAGGTACTTACTTTCTATGTTGCAATAGATTTGTCTGGAAACAGACTTGGTGGACAGATCCCAGATTCTATTGGTCTCTTGACGGCGCTCATTGCACTCAACTTATCCAACAACTCTTTCACAGGCCAAGTTCCGGTGTCTTTTGCCAATATTACCGAACTCGAGTCACTGGACCTGTCCCGAAACAAACTCTCGGGTAAAATCCCTCAAGAACTAAGGACACTCTCGTTTTTGGCGTACATAAATGTCTCACATAACCAATTCACGGGCGAAATACCAAAAGGGACACAGATTAGTGGGCAGCCTATATCATCCTTTGAAGGGAATGCATGGCTTTGTGGTCTTCCTCTCCAGAACATTTGCTTTTCACCTAGTGCTCCCCCAACACAACAAGAAAAACACGAAGATGACACAGAGGAAGAACAAGTGTTGAGCTGGAGAGCAGTAGCAATAGGGTACGGGCCTGGACTACTGTTTGGATTGGCAGTAGGACATGCCATTGCTTTATATAAGCCGGACTGGCTTGTCAAGATAATTGGTTCGGATAGGTGCAGAAACCGTTAGAGTTGCTCCATTCCTTTGTTTGATCTTTGAATCCTCTGTCAAGTAGTTCGTGTCTGTAATCAAAGCATCATCATATGTGTATAAAATACATTTCTCTTCACCAGCTTTTCCTGTTTCATTTACAATCTCAGCCAGGTCAGTGTCGCTCAACTCATGAATCAAAAACAAGGTGTTCTCATGAAAGACAAACAAAAGATGCCTTAGATGGTTTCATGTCACTGTTTTGTGGACAAGAAACAGAGATGAGAGAGGCAAAAGAAGAGCAAGTTTAATAACAAAAATCTATCTTGAAGGTTGGTTTCCAGTTACCAATCTTTGAATCATGGTGTGTATGGAGACAATGTCCAATGAATACTTTCAACTATCTCCAAACGGCTCAAAAAATGATTAGATGAGATAAATGTATGTGTTTACACATTGTGATGATACTGATCAACTTGCAGAACAAAAGGCAAACTTTTTAAGATAAATGAAAACAACTTCAAAAAGCTATCCTACAAAAATTCTTTACAGAATGTTTTGTTGATTTGCTATTACATTTTTCTTTTCCTTTTTCAGCTTTAAGCTCCATCAAATGAGCAACAGAGAAACATACAAAAAAAAAATTCAGTACATTAATAACAGAACAAAGGTTACACTGGACAAAGAAAAGTTTTTACCCACCCCCAAAATGGATGCATAACTCTCTCCGACCATGCCTCCAGTTCTTGCTTCACAGAAAGATGGGACGACAGAACAACAAACAAGCAGAGAAAGGCTTTCTTCTCTCAAAATTTTCTCCACCTGCATCAGTGTTGTAACAGATTAATACCATAGGCGCAAGACAGGGAGACCAAGGATATAACAACATTATGATGAAACCTTACCTCAATCTATAGAACAAAATCAAACTTTGTTAAACTAGTTGCAGATGGCCAGCTTTCCATTGACTTCATCCGCTAAACCATAATCCAGGCTTAGCTCGGCCAAGGGTGAGATGTTCTCCAGCGCAAATAGCATTACGCGAGGGAACATCAGATGGTTATGGTCATACAAAACAAACTGCACCATCACATTCGGTTCTTTGCTGTGACTAATGTAGCAAGCCACGTTCCTCATCTTCGACACATCCATTGCGTAATCCAGTGGGGGGAGAGATGGGTAATTTGGCCTAACATAACCCGGGTATACTTGAGATAAATCACCCCAGTTACACCATTGGTCCGTGAACCGACCAGGATAGACCATAACATCGCCATTCATTGATAGAATCTCAGCTTGTTGTCTTGTGACTACAACACCTGCATATTCACATATGAACGAACCAGCTTCAATTAGATCGAGTGTCCTGACACCCCAACCGGTTGCCTTCGATCTGAAAACCTCTAGCCCTTTCCTCAATCCCTTTTGTGTCACACGGCTCTTACAGCCCGGACCACACTTGCAGAAGTCCCCACATTCAAAAACTACATGCTTTCCTCTCAAGAGATGCCCGTTATCATCATATGCAAACTCACCACCGTTCTTCCTCGCACAGAGACAATCATCTGTACAGGAGTTGGTACAATCACAGCCACTCCTGTTGATTCCCCCTTGACCAAAAATAGCAGGAGGAAAGACAGATTTTGTAATGTACTCATAGTGTCTCGGTTCTTGATCACCATCTATGTCATTAAACAGATACACAGGGACATTCTCCTTCTTGTTAGAAATGTCGAAGCTGACATACCCATAAGGCATAACCTTCAACGGCTCACGTCTAAGTCTTTGTGCAAAGCTCATAACCTCAGTGGCCCTCCTCGGTTGCCCTTTCATTCTAACTAACCTAAATTTAAACACCCCGAAACCGGACTTCCCAACAGCAAACCAATACTCTACAATCTTATAAAGGCCATCATAGACATACACCTTGGAGGTTATACTGTTCTCATACTTAATTCCTCTAATCACCCGTACCTCGATGCCATACTGCATACTTCTCTCCATTCCCAGATTCCCACCTACTAGCCTCTGGTTCTCACACTGCCTCTGATGCCTATCCTGCCCACCGTGACCAGTATAAATCAGTTCATCTCCTTTATCTTCATCATCCTCGTAACCACCTGAGACAATAATGCTGGTAGCTATAGGCTCTCTAGTGGCGCTCCGTTCAGCCGTTAAACAGTCAATTCCAGCTTGTTGCTGACCGTGTAGTCCGATCACGCACAACTCCATCCTATAAAAGAATACATCCCCAATCTCTACTCCGGCGACTGGACCAACTATGTGCTTATCGTAATTCAACCACAGCCCTCGAGCCCTCATCATACCTGCAGCCGTCATATCACTCCTCGCTCTACGCCCCTGACCAAGTGCAGGACACTTCCTCTCCTCTGCTAATAGATGAACCCGAAGACACTCATAAATCATCCGAGTTTGTTTCATGACTTGCCGGAGTTGCGTCCGTTGATCATGACTAAGAATTGCAATTCTCGCCAGCTCTCTCGGTCTCTCGAATTTCGCGGGACGAGGCGAGACAACGACGGAGGAGACTCCCGAAGGCGGTTCAATCAATCCCCGGTTATCTTCATCCGGTACAGCAACGATCGCACCGGAATCCAATCCGTATCCTTCGACCTGCTGCGGCTTGAATGCGGAGCGGAAGAGGTTGGAGATACGAATAAACTCGGCGACGAGATCGCTACTGGCTGATTGATCAGGGGAAGATGATGGTGGGATTTGCCATTCTTCAATTGGCTCGGCCTTAACTAATGGCTTTCCGGTGACAACAGTGTCTTCGGCTGTGGTTCCGGCGGTCGACGATTGAGAATCCGGCATTAGGTTGAGGTCAGGAAATGGCATCACTGTACTCATCCAACCCAATGAACCGAAGACAGAAACAACACCCGGGCTCCGATTCCGGAAAGTATTCGGGTCACGATTCGGACCCGGCCTGCTTGCATTACTTTTGGAAGTTGTCTCAACTTGTCCACATAATTGTTCATGTTTTGGAAAGAAATAAAAAAAAAAGGAAAAACAAAATCGAGTTAGTTAGTTAATTTGTAATTAATTCTTACAATAAATTTTGAATGAAAACATCATGAAATAATGACTTTAAAATTTTGACAAATCTTATATTTCAAATAAAAGTTAAATATTTGTAATTGTAATTTAAATATTTCAAATTTACAAAAAGGAGATTTTCCTTTTTGTGTTTACAAATTCATGGTTAACTCCCTTATAAGTGTTAAAAAAAAAAAACTCCCTTATAATGTTTTTGTTGATAAAATGTTTAATTATATAAAAGAAGGTGTAATGTAGACACATGTCACACAATAGTTTAAAACATGATATTTTTAGGCTTGAACCCAATTATTTGAAAAAATTTATGTTAAGAACGACTAATGTGGACACATGTCACACAACATTTTTTTTTTGTCAACTTCATACTAAATGATCAACTCAAATGAGCAAATCGGACGAAATATTGTTTACAAATGTTTAAAACATGATATTTTTAGGCTTGAACCTAATTACAGTATTTGAAAAAAATTATATTATAATATGATATCATACAAACTTTGATTTAATTTTTAATTAAATAAGAATAAAATTTTAAATTATACAAACTATCTCCATCTTCTTTTAAACAAAAAACTCTACGTTTTTCTCTTCCTTAGTTTGGTTTTAACCATTATTTTACTGGTAAAACCACAACATTAAAGATTTTTAGATCAAACACTAAATTACAACTAAATAAACTAATTTTTAGAAAATTTTACAAGATGTCATCTATTTTCATATGCCAAAATCCATGATGGCTCTATAGACATATCTCTGAAATATTATGTTTTAAATATTTTATAAAGTGCCACGGTAGCTTAAACCTAATATGATGGTCTTAAACCCAAAATTAATTTGAAAGTTGAAATGTCTAGTCCTAATCCCTATATTAGTAAAAGAGAAGTACAAAAAGTACTTCCGGGTCGGGTCAATTTCAAAAAATTACCCGAAATTTATAATTGGATCTTTTAAAATTGGATAGACTAATGGGTTTGGATACATACACCGGATACTTTCCAAATCTAATTTTAGGATTGTATTATTTCCATAACTAATTATAAGATTTACTAATATTTCTCTAACTAATTTAATACAATCTATTTAAAAATATTATTCTTCTTTCACTTTTATTTGATATTATTTTTAATTTATGATATTATACTATATAATATAAATATTTAATAAAAATTTAACTTTTTTTGCATATGTTGCAATTTGAATTTTTCAAAACGGACATATAATACTCAACTACACTCGGTTAAATATTTTGGACAACGGTTTAAAATCATTATAAGTATGACCAATATTAAAACCATTGTTACATGAGCATATTTAAAATTTCAAATAGTTTCAAAATATTATAAATAAAAGGTTCATATATATAAAACTTTTAAAATTTAAAATATAGAAATATTTTTTTTGAAGATATAAATGTAATTTTGGATACATAATTTTTATTGATAAAATATATTATATATCAAAATATGTAAATTTTAGATAATTCACGGCTAGATTGTTAAAATCACAATTATAATGATAAAACGAGTTACGAATAATGTTTTTTACAAAATGAATTCTGTTACGGGTTGGACTTTCAAAAAATATATTGTAAATATGTAATTTTTACATATATTCCTACTTTTACTACAAAAATGGCCAAAATGAATAATTTATCGACAAATATTATTTCGTGCTGTTAAATTTTTACCGTGTTTTTAATTGTATCAAAACTCAGTATATGATTATTTACTCGCTTTTTCCTTTATTATTTTATTTAAACTTATTATACAAATATATGATTTACCGTAATCGACTGCACTCTAACAAAATTAAAATGCAACATATTTTAATCTGATAAAAGTTATATATATGTAATTATTTCCCCCGCGCTGTAGCGCGGGTCCGAACCTAGTTAAAATGATAATCTTGCATCCCATGTCCACTCCTATTTATTCAAATCTTTTGTTTTTTGTTGCTAAATC